TTTTCTGTCAAAAATGACCAAAGAGCACTAGATGGTTAAGTATTTACAGTGTAAAACCTCAGCCTACTAATAAACATTAATAATTGTTAACCCCAGCTAAATCGTGAGCAGTGCAAGGTGTGAAGCAAGATACCCCAGGATTCAGTTTACCTGGGGTTTAGAATCACGCAGAGTTAACTATTTCAAGTGTGAAAAACCTTATATTAGGAGTTCTGTAGAGTTTTGTGGAGTTTGCAACGGTGCATGTGTATGTGTTTGCACACAGGCTGTGGCTCTCTGTCGGTATTTGGAGAAGAACCGGGAACAGGTTGATCTGCTGGATAAAGCAGTGCTGGAACTTGCAGCGGGAACAGGACTGGTGTCCATAGTGGCAAGTTTACTGGGCACATTACATCTCTTTTTTTCTGTGTGCACTATGATGTTGAAGTTCAAAGGTCAATTTTTTGACTTTATTTGTTTGTAATTACTATTTATTTTCATTTACAAGTCTTTTACACCATTTTCACATCAAGGTGCCTGGGTCACGGCCACAGATCTGCCTAATGTCCAGTCAAATCTGAACTTTAACCTCTCGCGCAACACACCTCAGGAGGCGGCTCTGGTCTGGGGTCAGGATGGGAAACGTGACTTCCTGAACGCCGTCTACAATTATGACTATGTGCAGATGTGATATATCATCACAACTTTCTAGACGATCTACTGATCACCATGCAGTACTTCTGCAAGCCAGGAACCACCCTACTGTGGGCAAATAAGGTCAGGCTCTATATTTGTCCATGTTACCATTCATTTTAGCTAACATGCTTTTTAAGCTTTAACAAGCTTTATGTCTTTAGGTCTGAGGTAGCCTCTTTTATAAGACCCATTGGTTGTCATCATTTCATTTCCATCAGGTGCGATTTCAATCTGACCTGCGTTTCATTGAAAACTTCAAAAATGTTTTTAATGTCACATTGCTGGAAGAGATCCCACAAGAGGAGATAAGGATCTACCACTGCAATGAATTCAGCTCAAATGAGGGAGAACCAACATGATGTGTAGCAAGAATTGTTGAATGACATAGGAGATTCAATAAATGTCCAATAAATAAATCTAGCAGCCTCAACATTGAAGGGAAGGTGCTCCACCTGTTGGCCATCTGCAAAGTTACAAGGACTGATTGCGAGTGCTACTATTATAATGCAAAAATCAGGATCTCAAAAAATAGGATGACATTTTTATTTTATTTTTGGTTATTAAAAACTTTGGAAGCTCTTTTTTGCTTCAGAGTTAGTTTTTTCAGTAATCCAATCTTGTAGTTGTCCCCATTTATTATTTTTTAATTAAAAAAAAAGGATGAAATTCTATTGCATTTGCAACGTGTTGCAAAGTGATAATTTTCTTCCTAAATCTACACTACAGTTCCACAGCTTGTCGTCAGTAAGATTTTAATGAATTTATACTTTCATAATTATATCATTTGTTACAAAAGATTTATATTTCAAATAAATGCTGCTCTTTTGATTCATCAAAAATATTATAAAGAAGAAAAAATATTAAACAGCATGGCTGTTTTCAACATTGATAAGAATATTTCTCGAGCACCAAATCAGCATATTGGAATGATTTCTGAAGGATAATATGACACTGAAGACTGATTCTAATAACGAAGATTCTAAAAATATTTCACAGTATTACTGTTCCTACTTTTTTTTTTTAAATGCACCCTTGGTAAGCATTAAAAACCTTTTCAAAAACAAAAATCTAAATTTACTGACCTCAATTTTGAACAGTAGTGTATTTGACCAGATGGAATAAATAACATTTTAAAAAGATACATTCATCCTCAAGAAAAGTGTGACAAACAAAAAGACATACTAACACATTAGGCTGGTCTAAATGGTTACCAAGCGAAATAGACGAGCTCGTGGGAGACGTCACTCAGGGAATAAGATGACTTGTCTACAGCCTTTGCAAACAGCATAATAAAGAAAGAACGAGAGAAAGGAGAGTCCTGAAGAAGGGCTTGACTCTGGATCACACA